ATAGTATTGTGCGGTCAGAAAATGATGCCTTTCCTACGTACTGTGCAGATTACATGTGTGTCCTTGTTACATGTGGCTAGTAGCTGTGCCATGACACAGGAAGTACTACACACAGGAAGCAGGAAGGGACGTACACTAGGGGGAAATACATCGTCACATGAGGAATAATTACAGAAAGCATGTTTGTTACAACAAAAGGCCACTAGATGGCAGCATAGGATAACACATGGATTTAGCTATGAGAAAATAGTTAGGCAAATCACACTATATAAATTCTAACCTATATAACAATGCTAATATTAACTGAGGCTATGCATCTCATATTCTATGTCCCTATTGGGGCGGCACACTTGGGCGTTTTTCAGCGCTGAAAAACGCTGAAAAAGTGAAATCCTATGAATCCCTATGGGCATGGTTCCCACCTGGGCGTATTTCAGCGCGATTTGTCAAGCTGAGAAACGCCCTACGAGCAAAAAAGTACTTGAGCTTCTTTTTCGCGTGTAGGGGCAGATTTCACCACGTATCCATTGGTATTCCCGAGTGTGGCTCGGGGTTAACAAAGCGGTAACCCCGAGCCACACTCGGGAATACGGAGTAGGTCTTACCTTGTCCACGATCCACGCTGTGTCCTCCGGCCGCTGCCGTCTTCCGGGTTACGTCCCTTTCGAGCGTCCGCGTCGCAGGGGGGCGGAACCGGCGGGAAGTTTAAAAGTTTAAAAAAAAATCAGATGGAGAAAAAAAAGAAAAATCATACCGCCAGGGAGGTTAAAAAACGAGTGTTGAACGCGTGGTTCATTGCACAGAAAAACGTGCTAAAAACGTGCCTAAAACGTGCCTATTAGGAACGCCCAGGTGTGAACCCAGCGAACTCGTGTTGAGTTCCGGTGTCTGGGTATAAGAGAACGTGTTGTAGAGACAAAACATAGGAGCAGTGGCGTCACAAGGGGGGTGCGGGGGGTGCGGCCCGCAAGAAAGATCAAATGTAATCCTATTTTTGGGGAAGGGGTTAAGGATGATCCTGTTATATGGCAATAAATGGAAAAGATTTGTTTCCCAAAAAGGTGTAATTAACGGACAAGTCCACCAAATGTGGTAGATAGTGCCGATCTGAGAATCGCATTGTCAGCATAGTGGAGAACATTCTGGGAATATCCTGTGTAGGAGACTGGGGCTGCGGTACCATCTAGATACAGATGTTTTCAAATAGAGTGAGAGGCCTATGGAGGTTTGAGCAAGTAGATACTGATAAAATAAATTTAATTTGACAGTATGGAAGCCATTAACAAGATACTAAGGTCCCTTCGGTGAGTAGTTCAGTCAGTGGTTTAAAATAATTTGAGGTGAGAGCTGTAGCAATGGGAGATTGAGTAGATTTCTTCCACGATAAAACAGAAGATGAAAGCTCACCTGGTGGAAAAAGTGGGTTGTCCATGATTGAGGTAAGGGGACCCAAGTATTGAGAAATGTTATTTTCTTTAATCAAGTCATAAGCTCTATTAAGCTATAGTGGCTCTTGCTGTGGCGTATGCGGCGATACCTAACATGTATAGTGCAATCAACATTTTTGGATGTAGGCTCACAAGCTGCCTACTTTGCCTAGCAGCTCCTGCCCTGGTGACATAACACAAAATTCTATGTAGCATTATACAGAAGAAGTACAGAGTACTGTAACAGTACAGAGAACCATAAAATATGTTGAGCAGGACCATAAACTAACACTAACCGCACTCCAATTTCACTAACTGCACTCCCTATTCACTAACACTAACCGCACTCCCTATTCACTAACACTAACTGAACTCCCGATTTGCTAACTATTCACTAACACTAGCTACACTCCCTATTCACTAACACTAACTGCACTCCCTATTCACTAACACTAACTGCACTCCCTATTCACCAACACTAACTGGACTCTGGGCTCAGCAACGCGCTGGACTCTGGGCCCACCTGAGGGCCCACAGAGCCCATCTGAGATCCTGCAGAGCCCACCATAGACCCCACACATAGCTGAGACCCCACACAGCCCACCTGAGTGACCCTGCAGAGCACACCGTAGATCCGGCACAGCCCACTCAAACTCTCCATGGTGGGCTCTGCAGGGTCTCAGGTGGAACTAACACTAACTGCACTCCCTATTCACCAACACTAACTGGACTCTGGGCTCAGCAACGCGCTGGACTCTGGGCCCACCTGAGGGCCCACAGAGCCCATCTGAGATCCTGCAGAGCCCACCATAGACCCCACACATAGCTGAGACCCCACACAGCCCACCTGAGTGACCCTGCAGAGCACACCGTAGATCCGGCACAGCCCACTCAAACTCTCCATGGTGGGCTCTGCAGGGTCTCAGGTGGGCTGGTCAGGGTCCCTTTCCCTGCACCTCCTCCCAGCTCCTCTTACCTGCCACTGCTGGGGCCCGGCCTTCTCCACATCCTCCCCCTTGTCACCTCTGCCATGTCGCCTGGTACGGCTGATACCCATTTAAGTAACCCAGGCTGCCTGGGCCCCTCACATGTGTATCAACCATACCTCCCTGATGGCGGCCCTAAGAGCGGTGGAGGGTGCATCAATTGTATTGTGGGGGGCAATTGGTCTGTTGCTTCCCCCCATGGATCCAACACTGGACACACACCATTAAGGCCCCGTTGACACCAGGGCGGTACAGATCCGCCAACATGAACGATTCCATACATTGCTATGGGGACCGTTCATACGACCGCGTGGCTCAGTGCGATCCGAAATGCCCCCCGCCTGAACTGTTCACTGACCCTTTTTTGCCACGCTGATTAGTGCGGCTTGCATACAGCTTTCAATGGAACCGCGCTAATTAGCGCGGTTTTGGTCATTTTTAATTGCGTTTCAGCGCTGAAACTAAATAAACTACCAAAATCTCCCTTTTGAAATCAGTGGTTTCCGGATCCGCGCGGAAACCGCACTGATCCGCAATTGCACTGGTGTGAATGGGGCCTCATACTGATGCGACTT